CCCTGTTGGAGCTCAGTCTGGGGGGAGTTATTTTTTCTCCTTATCTTTCCTCCAAATTTTTCATTGTTATACCTCTCTGACCTGTCTTCCCCATGTGATGTTTTGTGTAATGTATGTATGGTCGGAGGGTAAGATGGCGCCGCCATTGCGTGCAATAGGTCAGCAGCCTTATGAAATTTCCCTTTGTGGGACTAATAAAGGTATATCAAATCAAATCAAATCTAAATACCATCTCACCAGGGGCGATTTTAGCCCAATGAATCAAAATTAATCAAAGAGTTCTCACTTTTTTGACAATATTTGCTGTTTGTGTAAACACTACTAAAAATATAAAAAACATACAGTACTTAATTGAGACATAACATTTTAACAACAAAAGCATAGATACCCCCCCTCCCAAAATGGTTTGTTCCAGCTCGCCTCTCCCCTACTCTGGCTCTAGCGCCATTTCTGCCAGAGCGATGGTAAATGGTAAATGGCCTGTATTTGTATAGCGCTTTAGTCATATGGACCCCAAAGCGCTTTACACTACATTCAGTCATCCACCCATTCACACACTGGTGATGTCAAGCTACATTGTAGCCACAGCTGCCCTGTGTGCAGCCTTAATGGCAAAGTTCAGAAAAGAGTATCTAAGCTTAAGAAATTAAATATGTTGTAATTAAAACCCTTGAGCATTATAATAATAATAAGATGGCCAAAGGAGAAGATGGAAGCCCCTGACATCAAGACAAGGAAACTCCTGACTATACATAGAGGGTTTCAGCCCAAGTCCAGCACCCTGAGACTGTACGCTAAGCGGAAGGAAGGAGGCTGGGGACTGGTGAGTGTCAGAACCACAGACCAGGATGACACAATGAACACTCTCGAGTACATCAGGAAGAATGCCAGAACTGATTGTGTACTTAGTGAATGCCTCAGGTAGCAGAAGCCCAAGAAAGAGGGCAAGAGGAAGAACCATCACTAAAGGACAGGCCCGGTACTGTGTATATATCCAGTAGATAGAGGAAGCAGCTGACATCTAGAAATCCTACCAGTGGTTGGACTAGGTTGGTCTGAAAGACAGCACAGAGGCACTAATCATGGCAGCACAGGAACAAGCTCTGAGCACAGGATCCATAGAGGCTGGGGTCTATCACACCAGGCAAGAACCCAGGTACAGGATGTGTAAAGATTCCCAAGACGCTAGCAGGCAGGGCATACATGGAACGCTAGAACCAAGTGGCATAGTATACAGAAACATCTGTGTGAGTATGGAAATACCGAGGTCAAAATAGGGACCTAGGGCGGTCGAGAATGACTGAGGCTAAGACCCTGTTGGACTTACAGATACAGAGGGGCGCAAGAGGGAATTCTTTTAAATATATGTAACATTTTGTATGTGAAGTGGATGTTGTGTGATTACAAGAATTGTCAAAAACAAACAAACAAACATATTTTATTAATATTCAGAGATGGGCAGTAACGTGTTACAATTACTGTATTGCTGTAATCTGATTACTTTTTTCAAGTAACGAGTAAAGTAAGGGATTACGATTGCAAAAAAAAGTAATTAGATTACACTTACTTTCCCCTTAAGCACGCTGCATTACTGCGTTACTAAACTGTGATTTTGTTTGAGAGAGTGTCTCATGACAATGACGCAAGCGTGTGCGACGGCTGTGGAAGCACGTATGTAAATCAACAATAGAAAACATGGAGCGAGGGATGGAGTACGATCATGCATCATTTAATACTTGGAAATACCGACATTACTTTGAATTTGACTTTTTCAAAAGCGACAAAAACATAAGCATACGTTGTACACTCTGCATAGGAAGAAAACTTCTTTCCACATCAAAAAATTCCACTTCCAACTTGAGCAAGCACCTAGCACAAGAATGTTAAATTGACAGAAAACCCCCAGGATCCCCCCACTGAAATGACCGCTGTGGCTACCACATCTACTTCCACCAGGCAAACCTCAGATGGACCCACTCCTGCTAAACAGATTAAATTAGACATAAGAGCGACAGGACTTAGTGCCGCTGAACTGAAGAAGCTCGTCGCTGCCTATATCGTTGAGAACATGTTGCCTATTTCCACTGTAGACTCTGAATCATTCCGACGCATTGTAGGAAAAATACCAACTAAAAGTGGTGTCAAGCTGCCCCAGAGAAAGTCATTTGTAGGATACCTTGAGAGAGAATATGACAAAATGAACTCTAACTTCAAGGCTACACTCGAAGAGGCAGAGTTTGTTTCCACTACTGCTGACATCTGGACGGTAAATAATAAAAGCTTTATGGGTGTAACAGTTCACTGGATTAATTCCACATTACAATGCAACAAGGCCGCCCTAGCATGCAAGAGAATTAAAGGCAGCCATATCTATGATGTAATCGGAGCAGAGATTGAAGAAATCCATTCATCATATGGACTACAAGACAAAGTTGTTGCCACTGTAATGGATAATGCATCTAATTTTCCTAAAGCATTCAGAGTATATCAGCCCTGTCATTTGGAGTCTGAATCTGAAAATGAAGAAGGTGATGACGAGGAACCAACCTTTACTGATGTCATAGAAGCTCTTTCAACCACATCTGGTGATGCACAGTTTAGCCTCCCTCAACACTACAGATGTGCATCGCACACAATTAACTTGATTTCAACAAGCGATGTTGACAAACATCTAAATTCCTGTGCAGACACCAAGGCTGCATATAGGAGTAGCATTGCAAAATGTTCTGCTCTTTGGACTAAAGGAAGTCGATCAACATTAGCCTCTGAACAGGTAGAGGAAGTCAGCCAGAGGAAACCTAATGGTACTGACATCCACAAGGTGGAATTACCTGTATGTGGCCATTTCTAGAATCATCACAATTCCCTTAAATGAACTTAATCTCCTGTGTGTAAAACTGGGAATCAAGTGCCTTAATGAAAGGGAGTACCAGTTCTTGAAAGAGTACTGTGCTGTGATGAAGCCCCTGACAGTGGCTCTGGACATCTTACAAAGGGATGAGTGCACCTATGGGGCTTTACTACCAACACTCACAAGCCTGATGTCAAAGACGCTTGCCCTGAAAGATGACCTCTCTAGATGACCTCTCTAGAAAGACCTCTGTAAAGGTAAGATTATTATTGGATAATTGCTTTGGGTGGATTTGTTAAACTTATTATACAATTCACAGTGGGTGGATGTTATACGTAGTTTTAAGCAGCGTGTACAATTATTAAAATGATAGAATAAAAGACCAAGTATTCACTCCTTGTTAAATATCAGGGATATTGATCATCATTGATTATGAATATTAATCATAATATCAACAAAACCAAAATTAAATCTCATACAGTATTCATAATAGAAAATATAGATGGTTTAGGGCAGTAAAGCCCACAAAATAATGACAATAGGTAATTATATAGTAAAATAATTTTATTCTTAGATGCATCATATTGTATGTTACAGGCCCTCAAGACTTGATGCTGTTCTGGACAGCCAAGAAGGACTTCTCGCAGCGGCCACTTGTCCCAAGTTTAAACTTCGTTGGTTGAGAGATGAGTGTAGGAGAGTATGTGAAGGAGCTCCTGATAACAGAATGTCGTAAAGCTGCTCCTGCAACTGACAACACTAATGTGTCCCAAATGCCAGCCAGCCAAATGCTTTTTCTCAGCAGAAAAAGAAGTAACCGACTATTTAAGGTCAGACTATGAGCTTGAGATTCTGAATCAGTTCCCAAATCTCAAAAAGATGTACATGAAATACAACAGTCCAACTCCATCCAGTGCACCAGTGGAACGGCTGTTCAGTTTAGGTGGATTGGTGCTTTCCCCAAAAGGAACAGACTGTCTGATAGAAGGTTTGAGAAGCTTCTGCTGATGCGATATAACCACTGTTTCAGTCCAAAAGAAAACAATAAAACATCGGTCTTTTTCAGGGTTGCCACAAAATGAGACTGGATTAACAGCCTATATGTAGCATGCAATAGCATTTTCTGTTTTGGTAATCTAATTATTATTACTCCTCTCTGCACTTTACCAACTGTTAAAAGATGTTATTGTTAATTTTATTTATTTTATTTCTTTATTTTATTTTTTTGTATTTATGTGAAAGGATGTGTGTGTATACACAAAAAATAATTTGATGTTATATACTGGAATATGCAGAAATACAGTTTAAGCCTTTATTTTCTTAAAATATGGTGTAATGTGCAGAAATATGTTTAAATGTTAAGCAAATTTATTAAAGTCAAAGACTGTTGAATTTAATTTTTTTTTTGACGCAATGTTTATTAAGTTAAGATTAAAAGTAATAAACCAATTTTCAAAAAGACATTTTTCAATTTGATTCACTTTTATATG